ATGTTGCTTGCCCTCAGGGTCCTACTCTTCCCATGATTTTCATGACACTTACTACAAAAGGCTTCCAATGCAGTGAAATAGTTTGGAACCCCATCTTGCACCATACTCCAAGATAATTTGACCTCTAGAATTCATTAGGACCATTATTAAATTGTTTAAAATCAGACCTCACTTGATCTTAAATAGAATGTCAATAAGTTTATATATAGGTCAGCACTCCTCAGCTTTCACAAATGTCCGTAAACAAAAGATCCTTTGGAAACACTACATCTATTCTATACTGGAATAGTTTCAATAATTTTGGAAGCTTTTTTAAAACTTCAAAGCTAAGTCTAATGCTGGTTCACGATCTTATACAAAAATATATTCAGAAAGGCAGTAGGGTCACTCATTTACTCAGACAGTATCTTTTAGGAATTCTACCATTTTCTGATGTGTGTAGACTCTCTTGGCATTGAAACGAATGTGACAGACACCTATTTGGAAATGCAGCCATTTGAAATTTTCAGTCAGATGCTGATCGGTTTTGTTGGTTGAGGTTTGAGGTTTGAATCAAAACTCATTCAGATATTAGCACATTTCCATATGCCTCACTGATAACTGAGGGCAAAAGAAAGCTCTTGATTTAATCTAGTGCTGGGAAAGTGGCAGTCATTGTCACTGTGCACGATGCTTGTGTTCCAAAGTTATTACTTAAAAAAATTGAAAACCATCATTTCTCTCATTGATGCCATAAATACTTATGACAAATAAAAACACCAAAGCAAATTAAAATATTTTAGTAGAACCAGATAAAGAGACCAATGTAACGAGGAAATTTAACCCTGATCTTTGTTTTGTTTCTAAGGTTTCTTTTTTTAAAAAATTCTCTTGTGTTTTCTTTGTTTTAAGTATCACAGGTCTGACAAATCTCCAGTGAAATCCTAAAGCAAGAGAGCTGGTAAATTCTAATATATAATATAATATAAATCTTGTACAATCCACAAAAATGGCCTGCAAAATACATAATATCCCCATTTTGCAGATCTGAGGCTCAGAGAAAGTAAGTGTTGTATAGTCTTTAAGGATTAGCTAGCTCTATATCTACTGCACCTCCCATCTAGTCTAGTTCACATCCTATTACCAGAGGCAGGAACTTGCCCGGACTCCCTTTGCAGCTAACATGGTGGATATGATTTAAGCTCTTGTAAGACATTTAGAAAGTAGAAACAAGCTGTTCTGTTGTTTCTACTGGTAAGCGGGATGGTGGAGTTTTGCTGTGGCAGCATCCTGGCTTCTAGTCGCTAGCTTTGAGGGTATTGAAAGGCAGGGGGCAGGGTATTCATCGTTTATAGCTGCACATTTGGCAGGCAAGCCCCGGCTCTGGAGCTAGTGATTGCCAGTGAAGGCAACTTCCTGATCCCTAGATGGCAGCTGAAGCAGTGTCTTCCTGGAGCCAACAGTCCTGAGGTGGCTTCCTGAGTCCCCATCTTCTTGCTTTTGGTAGAAGAGCAACCGGCAGGCCAGTTCTGCAGTGCGGCTCTGAGCGTCTCCTGGAAACTCAGCATAGATCCTGTTACTCTGACTCTTCCAACTTCTGTATTAATTCCTTTCTGCCTGAATTGTTGGTTTCTGTTTTACTTCGCTGAACTCTAACCAGTAAATATTAAGTAACTTGTTTATTCAGCCAAGAAGTGCAGAGCCTAGATTCAATGTGAGCTTGCCAGCCCCCAAAGCCCATGCTCCCTTTGATGGAAAGCTACAGAGTAAAATTCGCTTTGCATCTGCTGAGTGCAGATGTCCAAGAGATGTGCATGGGGGAAGTGGGCGGCGGGGTCAGTGGGGAAACCAGGTTGACTGAGCAGCTCCCACAAGACCTGCAGGCATGAGGCATTGGTCCTCTGATGTGCACTCCACCCTATTCTGTCCTTCTCCTCTGGTTTTCCTCACAGCCCTTCCTCATTCGTCTATTCACTAAGCTAGGATAATTTTCATTTGTTTTCACAGGAGAACACGTAAGGAAGACAAAGGAGCCTGTTTTTGGCTTTTCAGTCACCAGAGCTTAAGCCCCCAAATCCTAAAGACCAGATAAAACTTATTCAAGTTGGGAGGAAGCAGAAAACTAAAGAGGAAGTCAAAGAGCTAAGACATGTTAGGTACCTGAGAAGGTCCTGAGCTCTGTCCCTCCCAACTCCCTATCCCCAGACAGAATTCTAGGATAGGTGGATTGAGAGATGATAGAAACTCTATGTCATTTGGGATCCTAGAAGACGAGGATTCTTGTACCCTTTCCTGGGTAGAACTGGAAAAAACCCTAGGGTTCTCTGCACCCAGCATGGCATAGAGCAGATGAAATGGCGGCATGGTTTCTCTGGGCAGCCAGGCATCCCAACACAGCACTGAGGCAACATCAGAACCCACCCACCTGAGCTGAATGAAGGAGACAGACAGGGCCAGATGTGATGGAGGAGTGTGCTCAGGACCCCAGGATGATGCCACAGAGACCTTTTCCACTGGGGTCTGAAGACCAAATAGAACAGCACTCTAACAGATCTCGGACTGTGTCAACAGCTGTGGCACCAAGCCCCACCCAGTCCCACAGCTGTGAGACCAGAGCCCCACTCCCCATTGCCCAATCCCTCCACAACCCTACCTTAATCCTGGTACTTAGATAAACCCCCAGAAGAATTTTGGCTGGGGTGAAAGGAATGATCCTGAATAAAATGAAATAAAGTTTCCACCAGAGCTTGAGACTGAATTAAATCCAATTAAAAAAAATAAAGTTACATTTCTCTCACATATGGGCTGTGAGTTGAGTCTTGTGCTCACTCACTACACAGTTTCCAGTTAATTTGTACTCCAACCCTTAAGAGTCATGGGTCAAGGCCAGGCGTGGTGGCTCATGCCTGCAATCGCAGCACTTTGGAAGGCCGAGAGAGGTGGATCACTTGAGGTCAGGAGTTTGAGACCACCCTGACCAACATGGTGAAACCCTATCTGTACTAAAAATACAAAAATTAGCTGGGCGTGGTGGCTGGTGCCTGTAATTCCAGCTGCTTGGGAGGCTGAGGCAGGAGAATCACTTGAACCCAGGGGGTGGAGGTCGCTGTGGGCCGAGATTGCCACTGCGTTCCAGCCTGGGTGATAGAGTAAGAGTCCATCTCAAAAGAAAAAAAAGAGTCATTGGTCAAGAACAGTGTTCAGCAAACTGCAGCCAGCCGTTTTTGTTTTTTGTTTTTTGTTTTTAATTTTCCTGCCTATTTTTGTAAGTAAAGCTTACTGAAACATAGCTATGCTAATTTTCTATGTGGCTGCCTTTGCACTCCGGTAGCAGAGTTGATTAGTTGCAACAGAGGCTGCCGTGGTGTGAAGCCTGAACTTGTTACTGTCTGGATGTTTACAGAAAAAAATGTGCCAATCCCTGGTATAGAACATGGGCCCTGCCTGGCTCCAACCCATCCTCTCCCTTACATGCTTGTCCTTTTCCTGACACCATGGGGGCAAAGTCTCAAATCAAAATCAATGGAAAAATTTTGTCTTTCTCTGCTGTTAAAAATATACTTATTTCCAAATCCAGCTTCTCCTTCCTAAACCTCCCCAAAGGTTGGCTCTCTTCTGACTACTTTCTTCGTCTCCTTTTCTTCTGTGATCCTGCACTTCCTTGAAGACGTCTATCTTGATTACTTCTATTCTATATCCTTTGTGGGTTTCTCTTCCCCTGACCACCTTTAAGGTAAGTGTTTTCTAGGGTTGTCCTTGGCCCACTGGTCTCACTCCATTTACCCTGCCATGCCCCAGAACTCTTTGCAGGTGGATCAAGTTTCACTTGGTCATAAGCCCAGTTCACAAGAGAGAAAGACAAATTCACTCCTAAGGAGATAAGCCATCCAAGGTTAGTGATTTCAGGGGTTCATTCCCTTGGCTTAGATAACACTGATACCTTAACACCTAAACGGACTGTTTGGTTTTCTTCCTCTCGCCACTGAGTTAGTCAATATTACCCTTGAGCAGACAACTGAAGAGCAGAATGATCACTTAGTAGACAACCAATAAAAGGCATCATAGCCTGGTGGTCAATCATACAGGCTCTGGAGTTAGATTATAAGCTACAATTTTGAAGCTCTTATTAGCTATGAAAACTTGGGTGAGTAGATTAACGTCTATGCTTCAGCTTCCACTTCCATAAAATGGGCATAAGGCACTCAACACCACTAATCATCAGGAAAATGTAAACCAAAACTACAATAAGTAGCACCTCACTCCATTTAGAATCACTATCAAGAAATCAAAAGATAAGTTTTGGCAAGGATGTAGAGAAAAGTCAACCCTTACTGCTGGTAGGAGTGTAAATCTGTGTAGTCATAATGGAAAACAGTATGTTTCCTCACAAAATTAAAACTGTAACTACCATGTGATCCAGGAATCCCACCACAGGGTGTATCTCCAAAGGAAATGAAATCAGTAAGTCAAAGAGATATCTGCACTCCTATGTTTATTGCAGCATTATTCACAATAGCCAAGACAGGGGATCAACCTAAGTGTTCATCAATGGATGACTGGATCAAGAAAATGTGGTATGTATACATAACGGAATACTATTCAGCCATAAAAAAGAATGAAATCCTGCCATTTGTGATAACATGGATGAGCCTGGAGGATATTACATTAAGTGAAATAAGCCAAGCACAGAAAGACAAATACCATAAAACAACAAAAACAAACAAAACCTACAACAAATTCAATTTAATCATAAGTTCCCTTTAGCTATGTGTGAGGTTGTGAAAAGGAAAAAAGCTAAATACTCCAACTAAGCTAGATACTCTCACAGTCTTAAACATTAAGCTAAAAACTCTAATAGTCTTTTCCTACAGATCTGTGACTGCACAACAAAGGTGAGGAGGTAGGAGCAGAGAAGGAGAAAATGGGAAGTTGCCTGGGAAAAGGGAAGCAACTAGTTCAGGGATTTCAACAACCAATACAGTAAAATCTGAAAGAGAAAACTGCCAATCAAAGATGCTTACCTTTGCACCCCTCACAGGTCAGCGCATTATAGTGGTATCCAGACGCTCTGTCTCCACAAACAACACACAGCTCATCCCCTTTGATCCTCCCTGCTGACGCGCCCATGCGGGGCTTCTTTGTTACAGGCATCTCTGCTACCTCAGTCTCTCCCTGGTAGAGAGACTCAGCTGGCATTCGCCTGAGTTCATATATTCCAGGAGAGTACCACTCTTCAGGCTGCTGGGGGTAGAAACCCAGGTTGGAATAATAGGATGATGAGGAAATCTGTGGTTGAACTTGGGGAAACTGAACATTGCTGTATTGAGAGTATGGTTCCACTTCCAGGTTCTGTCCCAGAGGACCTGCCACTTGTTCTGTTAAAACACCTGAACAAAAGTGACAACAAAACTGGAATGAATGTCATCATTCTGGAAATTAGAGAGGCAGTTTGGCGTAATGGTTAGGAGTGTGGGCTCTAAGAAAAGATTGAAACATTTAACTACATAAAAGCTTACAACTTTTTAAGAGTATATATACATAATATAATTAAATGACAAATTAAAAATGTTCTGCAACATAGAGGACAGAGTCATCTCACTAATGTATAAACAGCTCTTGAAAACCAATAAGAAAACATTTGAGAAGCTATGGAAAAAGGGATAAAGGAAAGGAATAGTTTTAGAAATATAAACGTAAGTGTTTTGTAAACGAAAAAATGTGCTCACCTTTGCCAATAATTAAATTTAAATTGAAACTAAAACATTACCATTTTCATCTTCAAATGTGTGAGAGTTTAAAAAGTTTGATTATACACACTGTTGGGGAAACAAATACTTTTTGGTGGAAATTTGTGAATATTTTCCAGTTTTTTAAACTTCAATGTCCTTTTAACCCAGCATAAATCTTCCACTGCTTGAAAATTTATTTTAGAAATATCCTTGAACCTCTATGAAAAAGTGTTTTGTAAAAATATTCACTTGCAGCAAATTTGCAGAGCCATAAATTGGAAAACAATCTAAATATTCATCCATATGAGTCTGGTCAAATAAATTTGTTATATCCATACACTGAAATATTAAGTAGATGTAAAACAATTATTTAGATTTCTATGTGCTGTCATGGAAAATTTCTACAATAAGGTGCGATATGAAAAAGGCAAGCTATAGACCAATGTGTATATTCACATGGGTATTAAACACTAATGGGGTGTGTGTGTGTGTGTGTGTGTGTGTGTGTATGTGTGCAGGTGTGTGTGCGCAAAGGCAAATTTCTGCATGATACAGAAGAAAGTAGGTGGTGGTGACTGTGAGAAGTGATATTTTTACATTATATTCTGGGAGAGAAGATTGCATAATTTTTTTACTGTTTGTAGTTTTTGCCATGTGTATATGTATGCGTTATTTTAATCATTATAAAACAAAGGAGGAGCTTTAAAAAAAGAATACAGTGCCTGCAATCTATCTACTGTATTCAAATTCCTGCTCTGTTACTTACAATCTGTGTGCAGCTGGCAATTCCTTAATGTCTTTAAGTTGCAGTCTTCTCCTAAGAAAACAGAGAATAATAATACCTACCTCACTGGGTTGATATAAAGATTATATGAGATAATGTGTGCCAAGTGCTTTGCTAAATGTTTGGCACACAGGAAGTGCTCGATAAATTATAGCTGACTTAAAATAGGAATAATAATTATTATTCTTACTACCATCATTATTAAAGGAGCCCCTTATTTAGAAAACCTCTAGGTAATAGAAAACCATCAGGTTATGAAAATGCTTCTATTTCCTGGAAACATCAACTATGGCTCTTTAGAAAATAAAAATATTTAAATTATGCAAATGCTGAAAAAATAGACATAAATAAGAGATAGGAAAGTTTACAAATGTGTCTGACTCTTCCAAATGTTGTCAGACAATTTTAGACCAAAATTCCAGTTCCATCTCTTACGAACAGTGGGACTTTGAGCAAATTATTCAAACTATTGATAAACATCGGTTTTCATGGCAGCAAGTTTGGGATGATAACATCGATATCAAGGGTTAGGCTGAGGAATGAATGAGATGATACAGATTCACAGTTCCTTATCTGAAACCCTTGCAGTCATATGTGTTTTAGAAGTCAGAATTTTCAGGATTTTAGAACAGAATACTGTGCTATTTATATATCCCTCCCAGCACAGTCTGGAACAGAACCCAGAGTCAAATACAGCAATATTTTCCACAGTGAAATATATGAATATTCACAGTCAGTGCAGTAAGTAAAGACTATAAATAGTTTCACATTCATTCAGGTCAGGTTCTGTCACCAAAAAAGTGTGTGCCAAACTTTTAGAAAAACGTGGTTTTTTGGGGCTTTGGGGATTTCGAATTGGCAATGCTCTTTGCTGTGCTCAAAAGATAGTTGAAACGATTACTATAATTATTATGATTACTATCACTATATTTTGCAGAAAACTTTTATAGAGTTCTTTGTAGTGGCAGGCACTTGTATGTTCTCATTTATTTCTCACAAAACCCTATGAGTTAGGTAACATTATTATCCCCCACTTACAAATGAGTACCATGAGACACGTAGAAGTCAAGCAACTTTACTCCTACCTACCTAAGTAGATGCGATTTGAGCTCTAGGAGTCTAATCTCAAAGTCCATGCACTGAATTGCTGCTCTCTGGGGGTGATTTCAGGTGTGTGATGCTTAAAAACATGATATTCAAAGCCCCTCTCTGCACCTCCTACTTGCGTTTGTTACCCCCTTCTCGGCCTCCGCTTGCATATAACGGGCCTGCAGGTTTCTGCATGACCCTACCCTTGCTTTCTTTTCCAGCCATTTTGCATGTTTGGATGCCTCTGTTTCTTGAATGTGCCTTGCTGCTTCCAGACTCAGGATTTCTCCCACCTGCTGCTTCCTGAGCCTGGAATGGTTCTCAACACAGCCAACCCCTCCCAGGGCTTCATCTCATTAATGTCCACTTATCTGTACATTCCCTGTAGGTATTGCTTCTCTTGGGAAGTTTTCCCAACAGAAGAGGTTTCCAGGTCCCTGGGAGTCATGTTCCTGAATCTACTTACATGGCATTTAAAAACCGTTACTTACCCTACCTGGGCTCCCTCTGTTTATCTGTAAAGAAAAGACTCCACCCTAGATGATCTTCTAAATCTTCTTTATATCTAAAAGTCTTCATAAGTATATGACTAATAGTTTATGAACATTAGAATTCAGGGCTTTTTACACTGGCAAAGTTCAGAATATACATATTACATGTTGAAAATAATGCTTTCTTCTTTAACCCAGGAAATGATTGACAGAGCACATGGTATACAGTATCTGTACAAAAATCAATTTCCTTTCCTTCTGTCTGACTTATCCATATAAAAATAGCATAGGCCAGGTACAGTGGCTCATGCCTGTAATCCCAGCACTTTGGGAGGCCGAGGTGGGTGGATCACGAGGTCAAGAGACTGATACCATCCTGGCCAACATGGTGAAACCCCATCTCTACTAAAAATACAAAAAAATTAGCTGGGCTTGGTGGTGCGTACCTGTAGTCCCAGCTACTTGGGAGGCTGAGGCAGGAGAATCACTTGAACCTGGGATGTGGAGGTTGCAGTGAACCAAGATCACGACACTGCACTCCAGCCTGGCAACAGAGCAAGACTCAGTCTCAAAAACAATAACAAAACAAAATAAACAACAACAACAAAAAAGAGTATGTCTAACGGACAAAATATTTTAGAAATGGTGCCTTGTCTTACCACCACAAAATGGAAGGGGAAAAATATGGAACTATTACACAAAAAGAAAAGATAAAAATAAGCAAAATCCTGATCTATTTCATCACCAAATACGATGAAAATTTCTGGAGTGAACGGAATTGAAAAAAACTAAAAAGTATTAAAAGCATTTAGTTTCACTTACACTTAGATTTTATCCTCTAACCTATCTTATTCCCTTAACTCCCCTTCCTCCCTCAGCCCAATTTCTCTCTGCCACAGCTCTAGTAAGGATAAGTAATTTGCCCAAGATAAAAAACCGATAGAATCTGGATTCTGTAGCATCCAAGGAAATGTGTACAGTTTTTTTTCTCCTCATATGACAATTCTAAAATCTTTAAGCATTATTTCAATAAAACAATTATTTTCATAATCAAGAAACACAAAGGAGTCCCAAGTCAAGTCAGATAATGATATCACTGTCATATCACTCTCTGGAATAATCTAGATCAGAATGGAAAGTTTTCACAAAGATATAGATAATATCATGCTAAAAGAGTAGGACATCAGTAAAAATATGAGAAAAGTACACAATAATATTAAATAATACTTCTATTCTTGGCCAGATGCATTGGCTCATGCCTGTAATCCCAACACTTTGGGAGGCCAAGGTGAGTGGATCACCTGAGGTTAGGAGTTCAAGACCAGCCTGTCCAACATGGTGAAACCCCGTCTCTACTAAAGAAACAAAAATTAGCTAGACATGGTGGTAGGCGTGTGTAACCCGGCCACTCGGGAGGCTGAGGCAGGAGAATCACTTGAACCTGGGAGGCAGAGGGTACAGTGAGCCAATATCGCGCCATTGCACTCCAGCCTGGGTGACAGAGTGAGTCTCCATCTCAAAAAAACAAAACAAAACAAAACAAAACAACAACAACAAAAAACCTTCTATACTCAAAGCCCATTCACTTCTAGCATTTCATAGTGTGTCCCCTAAATCTCCACAAATAGAGAAGTAATTACGCAGGAACCTTACAACCAAAGAACCAGCATGGCCAACATATTCCAAAATGGTTGGACTAGGACAACTTCCACCATTAACTGACCGTGAGATCTTAACTGGCTAAGCTTTTCCTATTTCAATCTCTTCTGTAAAAATGGGACTGTTGCTATCTCAGAAGATAGTTCTGAGTGTAAAATACGGCTGTTGAGAAGCAGTTTTGGTAAGTCGAGTGTCATTAAAAGAGATGTTTCCTAAAGAATCTAGCAAAATCCTGATTTTAGTGATAGTTAATTGATAGTTAATAAGTAATTATTAACACATAGTCTGTCTTGATGATATAAGTATTAGGATAGTTCTTTCATTACAAATATATATTTATAAACATATGCTCATGCTCTCTGTGTGTGTGTGAGTGTGTGTGTATGTGTGTGTGATAAACACTTGCTATTTAGCAGTCACTGTGTTAGGGTCTGAGGATATGAAAGTGAAAAGACACATATGAAGGCCCAGCCTTTCTCTTGTTTGTGTGTTTTGGGAAGTGGGGATGTCAATGGTTGGGACAAAAATAAGTAAACAAGTAAACAAATACAACATCGTCTGGCAGAAAATAAGATGTGGAGGGAATAGAGGTGTTTGACTTTAGAGTATGTTTTCTGAAAAGGTAAATTTATTTCTGTTTTGATACAATTTAAAAGGGAAAATACATATTAAAATTTACATTTAGGAATTTTTATTTTGGAATTAGCCTATCAAAGAGTATGAGAATTAGGATTCCTTTGTGATGGTTCTCCATGAAAGTTTAGGAAAGAGTTCTTAAATGAGAACACATGGATGGACTCCAGGGGAGTCTGAGAAGCCCTGAAAATAAAGTAAAATTTTTCTAGATAGACAGTCTCCAGGTTTCAACACCTTCTCTAAAGGAGTGTCATCTGAGGGAACTTTCTGAGGTGATAGAAGGGTCTATGCCTACCAATAAGGTAGCCACTAAACCACATAGGGATATTGAACCCTTGGAATGTGGCAAGTGATACTTAGAGTCTGAAAGTTAAATTTTATTTAATTCTAAGTTAAAATTTAAAGTTGAATAGCCACATGTGGCATATTAGCCAGTGCAGCTCTAAGGAGTCTGGGACCAGAACCACTGTACCCCCAAATGGGAAATCAGGTTTGCATAAAAACAATGGCACTCTCCCATAATCTCACAGTGAGTTTCTGATGCTCCTAAGAAAGGGTCCAGGTTATATCCAGCTTTTCATCCCTGGCAGAATGCTGACCACAGTAAATGTTTAATGAATGTCTCTGTTGAATTGCAGTGCCTAGAAAAGTTGCTTTTTCTGCCTTACTTTATTTCTTAATCCATGGTTTCTTCACTAAACGGCAAGGCTTTACCGCAAAGTTGTTTGCTATTCCTGGCATTGGGCCTTTGTGATGTTAGTGCCTCTCCCTGCCTTGTCAGCTGATCACCTACTTCCGGTCACCTACAGCAGGAGGCCTGCCCCAGTTCCCCCAGGTGGAATTCACCTCTCCTACCTCTGTACACACTTCTATTATGGCACGTATTGGAAGTATATACAATCATTTCTTTTGTTTACAGGCTTATCTTCCACGCTGAACTTGAGATGGTAGGAGATACTGCCTAAGAGTGCCCTCTGAGCAGACAAATCTGGATTCAATTCACCCACAACTTGTTCGGGATATGAACCTGGGAAAGACATGGAACTTCTTTAAGCTTCTGTTGCTTCCTTTACAAAGCTGAAATAATGTAGTGCCTGCATGAGAGGCTATAATAAAGATGAACTAAGACAAAGAATATAAACTGCATAGTGCCTGACA